GGAATAACACATAGGCTACTCACTTTTGTTTTTTTTTTAATTCCACGTGGACGGAGTCGCGGGTGCAAGTTAGTACTAGTATAATAAGAAAATTTGGCATGATTTGCGCGTGACTAAAGAAAATGGTGATTGATAATTTGGATAAATCGTTACAAAAAGATTATCTCGTATAATTTGTCCAGATCTATAAATGTAAGTAAATGCTTTTAAAATGTCTTTGCTGGATATATACAAAGTGATATTTGCCAAAAAGTACGTGTTTTCTAGCGTAAGATATTTGTCGTGAATGAAAATGAGGTCGTGACGTGCACAAAAGCTTTTAACATATCGAATACTTGACAAGAAACGACGCAATATACCATGAATACGTTTTTTTCTGAATAATTTGCATAAACGATTATTTTTAACGCCTTCGCTATTTAGTGCGGGTTTGATAGCGTATTTTATGTTGCATCTATTAAAAATATTCTACCTACTCGGACGGGGTGACTTATAAAGTCTTTTTTATAGGTTTAAAGTTTAATGATCTTTATTCGCAAAAATAGAATATCATGTACAGTCACTTACATGAGAATACTGTATTTATAATACATTTCGACAGTGGTAGAGCCCGCTTTATCATCTTCGCACGAATGGGTCAGCTCGCCCGCTGTAATACCACGACCACACAGAAAAAAGGGGTGAAGTGGAAGCAATTCCGCATTTCGTCTGATGAGAGTGGTGCCGGAGTCCTAATTTTGGTCCCTTTCCCTTTCCACCCTTTTCTCATAAGGAGAGGATGGGAAGGGAAAGTTGAGTCGACAGTGGAGTAGAAGCATAGGAAGAGGAAATATCCTCTTTATGTGCGTCTCCTCCTCCGTCGGATATATGTAGGCAAAGCATCTGCAATTGCAGATGTCGACGGGCAGCGGTCGCTTCGCCATTTTGGCGAATTCAGGTGGCCGCTTGCTCGTTTGCCATCTTATGTTATAAAAAAAATAAAACATTGCTTGTCGCCGATATTCGCCGATACCATTGATTTAAATAAATTGAGTTATTTTACATTTTTAATAGAAGACAGTAGTTTGTCATAAAGTTGTGCTCCTTCGAAAGTGATGTTTTTTGCACTATAGACGGTTCGAACTTTTGGTAGAACAAGCAAACTTGCTCGAAGATATTTGATATTCTTGCAAATAATATATTGGTGTTATTTTTTTTTTTTTGCTTATAATTTAAAAAATAGATATACCATCACTTTACCAATAACTTAATCTAGCGCTTAGAGCACTTCCTTTACATTTGATTAAATCATTTTCGAATCCACACCAATACAGAAGCAAATACTCCAATTCGTCACGTTTCCGCACGCACGTATGCACGCACCTAATGTTAATTTCTTTTAACTCGATACAATATTACAAATATTTGAACACGTGCGTCGTTTCGAGAGTAGTTACCTAACTTTTGCAATAACAAACTTTGTAATTCAATTTCTTCCAGGTAAGTATTAAATGTAGATTAAAATCAAAGTGAAACCAAAATAATTAATTATTTGATCCGAGAAATAAAACTTTTTATTTATTGTCTAACAGCTTTACTGATATTAGAACTATACTACGGGTCTCTAGTAACTCTGAGTGTGGCATTCAAAGTCAAAGCCATGCTTATCTATAAAAAAACAATCAGAATTTCAATTGAAATTTACTTACCTAATGTTTTGATAGTATTCACATGTTTAGTAGCCATGTTGAACTTGCTAACGAAATGAAAAAAAAACTTAGAAAAATATCACGTTCATTGCAGGAAACACAGTTTTCACACTTCATTTCAGAGTCTTTTATAGCGAGAGTAGACCTGAAATAATTTGAAATAAACTCGTGCGCTTTATGAAGAATGTCGGCCATTCTTTACGTTCTTAAAGTCTTGGTGGATGTCTGAAGTATTAAATTCCCAAAGGGTTTTATTGTCGTGTGTTTATAATGTTTCGTACAAAAACTGTTATCCATCACAGATTTTACTGAGAGAGTGAGTGAGATGAAGATATTTGTTTTCGTTGGTATTTTGATGGTGGAAATGTATATGATTAAAAAATAATTTTGAGTAAAAAATATAGACTATTAAACATTATTTTTACAAACTTCTCAAATCGATCAAAACTTTTGCAACCTTGTAATATTAAACTAAAAGCTGGGAAACCTTAAAAACATAACAAACTTTCGTATTCCAAAGTTTCGTAAAATTTCGTAAGTATTTTGCTCTGTCCTAACAAACCATTTTGCTTAGCGTTTATACTTTCACGTGAGCAAGTTAAGAACCATCTTAAGTATACAATTGTATGCATTCATACGGTACAATAGAAGTTTTTAAATATGAATTCAAACAGTATGTTAAGATGTCGTGTGATAGTTTATATTGTCACTGATAGAAAGTGTGAGAACGTAGATACATTAATTTAAACTATCGGACTGACAAAGACATTCAACATGTATCAATAGACGTGACAGCACGTACCAAACTGTAATCCATGATTTTACGTTGTGACAACTGGCGTTATGTTTGTAATGTCCACTCTAAACTGATTTATTTGAATCCCTCTTGTTTTCAATTAAAAAATTGTTACAATTTTTATACACTTGAATTACTATCGTTAGCTATAATTAAGAATCCTTGCAAATTAAAATAATTACCAAGTTTATATTGTTCAACATTTTGTTTTCTTTGTTCCACGTTTCTAGAATCATCGATAATGTCTGGAAATTTCTCCGAAGCATTTTATATGCATCGCTGAATCTATGTGGGCGGAGAAAAACGTGTACCCTCCTACGTTCATGAGATGATTTAAAAGTTTAATAGCTATCTGGAATATTCTTCAGTATTAGCATTATAAATTGATATCTGATACCTAGAATAAATGTAACTCCTCAAGGATTATCATATGCTATACTTAACGGTGTCAAGAAATAAAATTACCCTTGAAATAAAAAAACCGCTTGAATTTTGCGAATACAAAAGCGTTCCGCTACTGGGTGACTGTAAAAAGTAAATTACTAATTTCTAATAAAAAAAAAGATTCTCTACGCAAAATATTGTTAAATCTGTCAAGCCAAATATACACTTTCATACATCTTATACCTTAATCTTGATACATAGTAGTTAGTCTAAAAGCAAGAATTAGCCAACTGAATAGCGCGTACCATACCATCCATCTTCATTTTAATCTAGATGGGATTGTGGTCAAACTAGTTTAAACATGATAAAAAAGGAGCAAAAACCGTGCAGAATTTTCTTCTTATGTTTTTATCGAATTAATCTTTTATCACACAATTTCACGCAAACTACTGTAATAAAAGAAACTTATTGAATAATTTTCATTACGTGTTAGCAAAGTTTATTATGCTTTCTCGATATAGTGACCTTGAAAATGCTTACGTGTCTACGCTCGTAGCGTTAAAAGACCAAGTTATACAAGTGCTTCTTCAAAGTCACCGTGCCTTTATTCATTCTACTTAACCTAAGCTGCATACAGTTTAGCTAATAGAGGTCAATATAAATTATATAACATAACTCTTTGTGACTTAAGATGAGTTAAGTTATATCATAATGTAGCACATTCGAGAATTAACAAGTGTTTGTTATAGAGAAAATGTTAACAAATGAATTAAAATTGCAGAAAATAAAAAATCAAATGGAATTAGGAAGATAACAGCATTGTCATGCTCGCAAAAACCCTTCTATTAGACGGGCAAAATCTTAACTAGACTGAATAGTGAAAAATCCATTGTATATAATTATACTAGTCTATACTATTATAATAAAGCGTAAACACACAGTTCTTTGTTGCCTAAGACGTCAGCAAGTACAGCGTATTTTTTAAATAATTCTTTATTTAATAAAAAGCCCTACACTTACTACGTCACGCTTTAAGCTATATATTTCCACGCCATTATACTCAGGGGGTAAATATTTTGCGTAAAAACCCTAATGTGGGAAAGAGACCATAAGTTGCTACCAACATTAAGAAAGCAAGGTTGTCATGGTGTGTCATGTCATGTCATTTTGACATTTGTTATTGATAATTTGACAAATGTAAACAATAAAATAAAATGTTCATAATTTCATGCGGATGAAGCGCACGGGAACAGCTAGTATTAAATATTTTTTATTAATGCTTAAAGTAAAACAAATAAATTACCAAATAACGCTACTGCAATTTATGTTGTATCTAGACAGAATTATGGTACATTTTTGCCAACAGCAGACATAACAAGGCGTTCAAGAGGTACTGAGCTAAAAGAAAAACTTGACACAGTTTCAAAGTACAACTCGAGCTCTCTGTACCAAATAAATGATTATTTGGCAAAGGTGATGTCTTGCGCAGTAGGCGTAGATTTAAAAGCAGACTTTATGGTAGTCCTTACATAGGCTATTTAATTATAGGTACGTAATAATTTCTTATAGGTTTGTACTATGTATATTAATACATGTATGTTATAGTTATTTTTATATGTTATAGTTAGTTATTTTTTGCCGATTCGGCAGTTTCAGGAATAAAAAGGTACCACATAGAAATGGTAAACACAAGCCATTTAAGTATCCGAATAACTAATAAACACGCATTTCATGAATATTATTGTAAAGATTTCTTCTATCGTACTATAGCTGAATTATTACTTGAGCTGTCGGTATCGCAGATGTCTCAGGGACTTCAGTCCGTGTATCATCATCCACTTGCCCTTATCCCTTACGGAGGGTCGGCACAGTATGTACTGCTCTTCCATACATCTCTATCAGCCGTCACATCTGAATCCACTCCTTTCTTAAGCATATCCTCTTTCACACAATCCATCTATACTTTCTTCGGTCTTCCTCTACCTTTGTAGCCATCCACATTCAATCTTAACACTTTCTGGTTTATGTCCACATCGTTTCGTCGCATAACATGTCCATACCACGCTAAACTTTTGCGTCTCAATTTCTCCACCACTGGCGCTACTTTCAAACTTCCTATAATGTACACGGACTTCGGACTTCATTCCGTATATGTCAACCTTTATTTTCTTTCTTTTAAAAGTAGAACGTGTGGTTAGGTTGAAGGTTTTTAAAACCAACGTAAATGCTTACCTTGCCATTGAACTCCTGAACACTGCTAAGTGCATACACATATTTCTCCTTGAACCACTCTTAATTATATTTACGTGTAGATTATAAAATTAAATTACATTGAAAGATATTTTTTACATCTATCAATGTTCGTGTTGACTGTACTAGTACTTTATTTAATTGTTAACATTAAGTTGTTTATCTCCGAGAAAGAAATAGATAGAAAATCCTCAGGTTTAGTCTATTACATAAATTTATCAAAGCTTATTTGGGTTACAAGAATTTACAAGAACTACTTATGGAAAGGCATGTATCGATCATAATGAAAGTCTTGTTAAAATTTATTTCGACACATACATTTCACGTTGAGTTATGATCGACGCCCATTCAATGGTCGTGGGTAAAAGGTAACTCGTCAATGTACGCAACTTGTGACGTAAACATCGTCACCGTTCGTGTGTCGGGTATGTGGGAACATCGCTGCGCGCAGCGGCGATCGATCGAATGCGCGCGCAACTCCGCCATCCTGGCTTCAGTACAGAACTAAGCCATCATTCGAATTTTAAATCCGTAAGAAATGAGCGAAACTCGCGAAAAGTGACTGTCGAAAATTATTAGCATTTAAAGTGTTCGTGATCATTACTGATTTGGTGGGACATAAAATAAGGTCAGTTTCTTCTTCAGATTTCAGTGACGAACTCTTAGATTTATAATTCTCGGTTCATTTTCCTTAGCCTCCACATTTTCTTACCTACTATTTCCGCGATACGGAAACGAGACGAACATAAAATGCTTAGAAAACAAATGAAGAACCTTTAGACTTGAATCAAAACTATTGATTTAATTAATTACTGGAAAAGAAATCTTTTATGTAACTACCATCTCTGAAACTGGAGTAATTTTTACATGAAAAAATATTGATTTTATTAAAATTGTATAGACCCTTAACAGTCTCACTAGATTTAAGAATAGTGTTATTTGGATAGTTTTAGTTTATTTCCAATGACAAAATCCTACTTTATGCTTTGTTTTCTTATGACTTTATAAATGCCCTCAAAAATAAATTGTTCAGATTTATTGTCAAATATTACTAACATAAGTCTTCAACAATCAATAATTTTATTTTTTTTTCCTTTCAGTGTCCGTTGTGTGATAGAATAATCTTAAACTTGACAATTATTAATTGATTATTAAATTTTGACATTTGGTTGCAGAGATGTCGCCATTACGGGGAGCGGTGCTGCGGTGGCGCCGCCAAGCGGACAACTTGACTTCAACGGTGAAACCTAGCGCGATGTCGCCATCCAACGCCTCCTCAAGTAACCATTTTAAACTTATCTTGAAATCTTTCAATGCATACGAAATTGTTAACATATTTTATTTTCACATCTTGAACAGTCTTTAAACGATTTTTTAATCGAAGATTCTTAACGAATAAACGTTTATGTTGATCATTTAAGCATAAAGAACAACGAGAAGAGAAGATTTGATTTTTGTAAACGGATTAAAGCTATTTAAAAGAGATCAATTTTCTGACAGCGTTACTGATAATTTGATATTTTGTAGTTGCTTTGATATGCTTATTTCTAGGTCGACTTAAATATTCATGTATTACTATTTTTAGAGGATTTACTCAAACATTTAATCTTCGTATAGTGCCATTTGTTTTTCATGGCTCATAATTTATATATCTATCCGATTTTTTCTAATATAACAATGAACTTCTGACACGACAGTAGTACATCTAAAGTCAAGGACATTATTTTTATCCGCGTTTCATAGGAAATATTCTAATGCGTGGGCGAGGCCCGATGTGTCCGACGTTGATTATGAATGTTTTATGAGTTTGTGAGTGACATATTTAAATGAGTCGGAAAAAATTTTAGTTTCCTATGGTGCTGGAATATTAAAAAAAAACAATTTCATATTAAGATTGTGTAGTTACAAGACAATGGTTCTTTTCTTATTGTAATCGGCTCCGGGTATACTATTATTTAAATGATTGAAAAATAATGGTTATTGGATTAAATTCAAAATGTTGTGGTTAAAAACATCATAACAGTTGATTTTCGTTAATTTTTACTTGAACATGTTAAACATTTAATAAACATTTTCTAATAGTTATGAGTAAGAATATTAACACAAAATTGTTAATATAACCTAAAATGTTAACTCATTCTTAACTAAATCAATCCGCATCAAAACTTCGGGTATGTATTTTATAAACAAATGCAGTCATCTTTAATCGCAATAACAGTTGCCTTAGGGCTTTGGCATTATCCCTTTTTAGATATACCAATTTAATTATTTTGCTAATTTGTGTTCTGTAATGCAAATAATTCTAAACATTGTATGTATAACAAAATAATTCATCTTCAGAATTTCAACCCCATAAACATACAATTAAGAAATGAATCTATTATTGTTATTTAAATTATTAGTATCAGTATATGATTTCTTTACGTTTAGCATTCGCGCCGCCTGTAACCGGCACTGGGGCAGACACTATTGCCGCGGTATCCTCCACGACAGTCCCCCAGGAGTCAACAGCTGAGAAGGTCGCCGCGGAGGTAGCGCACAGACTGAACATGGAGACATGGCAGCTGGTTGCTATCCTTGTTGGTGAGTTGGTTTATTTTTTATTATTGACAATTATGTAAAAGATATAACGTAATGTAAAATATCCCAGATATTGTGGGGACCCTATGAGAATCTTTATCGTAATTTTCTTATCATATTTAGCATTATGGTACAGAATAAATAAATCATGTGAAATAACTAAATAATTAAGTTTTTTAATTTACTAACATTGTACAATACATTAAAGTGCACTGCTTTTAAAAAATTCAAGTTCTCAGTAAATATGCAGTATTTTTTTTAACAGGCATTGGCGTGGTGATCCTGAGCATATGCTTCTGCTGCATCCGGCGATGTTTCCGCAAGCGACGCTCGAAGGACGGCAAGAAGGGGATGAAGGGTGTTGACTTTAAGTCCGTCCAGCTTCTCGGCTCCGCGTACAAGGAGAAGGTAACGTGTGAACATTTAAAGAAGAAAAGCCACAAAACTCCAACTAACTTCAATTACTTGTAACATAAATGCCATAAAATTCATCAGTAACGTTTTTTTAATTACACATTAACCCTTTAAAAAGAGGTTGGAAAAATACTAGGCAATTAGCACTTTGGCCTTTCTTGATCGGAGCAGCCATGACATTTACAAGAGAGGTTCAAAACAGTTGTAAAGAAAAAAAAATCTAATTTAATCCAATCTTAATTAGAGTAACAACAATATGGAGGACTAAGCTAAATTTCATTTTCATACAAATTTAGCAAAATTCTAAGGCAGCAATAATTAAATCATTTGAACGCATACAAAGACATCTACCAGTACCTCAATCACTTTAATTCTTACATCTTGGCCTTTACTTAAAGGTGTTTGGATTCATTACATGTAAGTTATAAGCTATTCACATAAAGTTTGCCGCGGGACGTGCATGTAGGTTCAGCCGGACATGGAGGAGCTCACGGAGAACGCTGAGGAGCCTGATGATGGAGACTCCAAGAAGGAGGAACAGAAGTTAGGCAAGCTCCAGTACAAGGTAACTAGTTTTCTGCACACAGGGACTGAGACACTGTATGTATTTCTTATATATTTATTGTTCATATAACAATTCATTTATTTGTTTCATACATATTGTATTCCATATATTATTGACCGACTTCCCAAAAGAAGGAGGGACCCAATTCGTCTGTATGTTTATTTTTACGTATACCATTTTGACTGTGAAGACTGCGTTTATAAGATTTTACACTCCTTTTTACAATAAGATACGGTAAGGTAAAAGTAAATTTGGCGGTGGATAGAATGTTTTGTTTTCATCGTATTGCAAGTATCTATTTTTTGTTTTTTTTTCGTATGTTTTTCTGTACTGCAGAACTATCACATTAGTTTCATCATGTGAATCATTTTCATAAAGGTTTACATTGAAGTTTTGTCCCTCAGCTGGAGTACGACTTTAATAGTAACAGTCTATCGGTGACCGTGATACAAGCTGAGGAACTTCCTGCTTTGGACATGGGCGGCACTTCGGATCCTTACGTCAAGGTGTACCTGCTGCCTGACAAGAAGAAGAAGTTCGAAACAAAAGTGCATCGGAAAACTTTGAGTCCCGTATTCAATGAGACTTTCGTCTTCAAGGTAAATCGTTTAATACCCTATTGTAATAGAGTTACTTTAATGTTCGGGGGGTTTTGAAAGGATGAATTATTATAATTAAGATTCGAAAAGAGGCTCAATACTAATTGAACATTTGTTATCTTGACATAATAAATGAGGATTTCATTACCCATTGTGGTAAGTGATTCAATGACTTTATTTTCAATTTGATATTTGTACAGAACGTACCATACGCGGACGCGATGAATAAAACTCTGGTGTTCGCCATTTTCGACTTCGATCGTTTCTCGAAGCACGACCAGATCGGTGAGGTAAAGGTGCCGCTGTGCCAGGTGGACTTGGCACAGACTATTGAAGAGTGGCGCGAGCTGCAGAGCGTCGAAGGCGAAGGTGGACAGGTGCGATATAAAAACAGTAACAAAAAAAGAACAAAAATAATATTTTTTTTTTCGAAATATAACTACAGTAAATTTCTTTTGTTTCTGTTTAATTGTATTTTTAAGGTAAAAGGGTTATCTGCTTAATTTTAACTTGCTATACTTTAATTTTTTAGGATAATAATAATAAAGTTTTACTTTTCAGCGAAAGATGTTATCTTCGGAGTGGTAATTTAATCATTTGGGTTTAGTATATTTTAGGTTTACGATTTAATTAATAAATCAACTAGCTACCAGCTAAAAGACTACAGTAAAATTATAGTTTGTTCTAAATTAAGTGTATAAATTAAAAAGTTTTAATAAAAACACTAAATGGAGCAATACATAACGTTACATCTTATAAGATGTACTAAATGAAAGAAATTCTAAACTTTAACATAAATAGTAAATGTTAACTACATACGAATATGTTAACAATAGACACCCAGGTCACATCAACAATATATAGTATGTACACAAACTAATAAATAGGTACATAAGGTAGATATATAACATGGTCTCATGCACAGTATAGTAATAAGGCAACAAAGCAAAGAAATACATGTAAGCGCAAAATCGACTAAGAGACAATTTTATCTTTTTTTTTTCTTAGCTTAAGCTAACTGACAAAACACACCCACTGATACAGCCATTCTTACGCCTTCCACAATTCACTATATCACATTGTATTTTATGCAGACATATACATTTATTTATACGATCGATGGATTTGTTTTGGCAGATCAGCATTATTTTCGATAATATACCATTCTTTCAAAGATTTTGGATCTTTAACTAATTCGTTTATAAGAAAAAATACACGAAAAACATTACAAAAAATTGAAAGAATGGTCTACTTTTTTTTTAAATTCTCTGCACTTTTCAAAGCTGAGGGCTCTTGACAAAACTGTTAAACCAGTATCATGTTATTCTTAAACATTTTCTTTTTATTTCCAACCTGTCAAGATACCTCCGTCAAATGAGTCGTCATTTATTTTTCCGGGAAAAAAATTAATTTCGACGACAAAAATGTATTTACTTGGTTTTTTTCTCTTTTTCTCCATATTTTCTCTGCTCTGCTTGGCTGTGTTTGATTGTGTCCTGAACAATCTTGCATGCCGCTTCAAAAACGAAATGATCATTCACGTAAGTATTATTTTGAGACACATCAAGATGTAATATAAATGTATAACAAATACGTTTCGTTGATGTTATAAATACACAATAATTGGAACATGATTAGTAACATAGCATACGTTATTTCATGAGTTGTATAAATGTTAGGTTATTGGTATAGGTGTATATTTCAACATTGGAATTGAAACCAGATAGTTCCAGGAATCTTTGGTCACCTTACCTTTTGTCACCCATCATACCATATTATTTTCTTTTATCTTTTATTTGTTCCATCCAACACTTTATTTAGTTTATATTGCGGCTGGGGAATGATGCATGCAGGTCGTTCACAATCCTTTTATACCTTGGACTGTCATTTGTTATCAAAAATTAATAAATCAATAAACAGTCAGTTATCTTTTTAAAATATTCGAAAAACAAATGACATTTCATAAGTACTTTTGTACGTGACAGTACCCTAGCACACGAATTGTTAACATTATGTTTTTGCACTCGATTTGGCTATAGCGTTTCATCTTACGCAAGTTGTACCTTAAAAAGATGCTAACAAAATTATCTTTCCCATTATATTTGTCAAATATAAAAAAATAATCACAAAATACTTGTGCTATATTACAGCTTATGTAAACAGTTAAATAAGTAAAAGTTTCGCAATCATCCCGTTTACTCAATACATTGTATATAATAACATAATGTATTCATATTAAATTTAAGCAAATTCCCAATCAATAAAAATGCTTAACATACAATTTATATTATTCCAAGTATGTTACAGATCGCCATCTGGTGGACAAAAGGAGAAACGTGCCAGACAATAGTAACATTTTTGTCTTATATATTTTATATTTACAGAGAACACATAATGAGTTGTAGTTTTTTATCTCTGCATAATGAAATTGCAATGCAGATATTTTTCTCAGCAATTGTTGAAAGCAATCTCATTTTTTTGATGAATGAAAAGATAATTTTCAACTAAATAACCAAGTTATATCTATCATTTAATACCACCAGCTATTGCATTCACCCCGTAGCTTTGTTTATTTCCTAGTGTGATGTACCGACCTTTATAAGTGTATTGATGTGTAGTATAACGATCTCTCCTCTAAAGAGGTTAAACAAAAAAGGTTCTCCTTTTCAACTTTTACTTCTTCTAAAACTTATTACTTTGTTACTTCTTTAGAGGATTATATACCTACCTGTAATATTTATATGTATGTATATGTGTACTTACATAGCTGCTATTAGATAATTGCGATCTGTTCCTAAAATGGTTGGTCTTATTGCGGAATAGATAATATAGGTAAATATTTTAATTTAAATGTACATTTAAGGTAAATAAGGTCGCTATTAATGTACAGAGTTGAGGGATCGCTGCGAAGGTGAGCATACATCATTACCATTTGATGATTTGAGCTGGGTGTTAAAGTGCAAAGACATTGGCTTCATTTCGGCAACAGATCGTAATGTTATGACAGAGTATTACCAATATATTTTGTGTCAGCGGGAAACTGCTTCATAAAGATATGTTTTAGGTTTGATGTGAAGTTGATTTTTGTTAATCCTATAGTGTTTTGTTGGAAAGTTTATGTACCGTGTTTTATTTCATGTTTTTTAGATGGATTGACGTCGATGTGCTAAAACGTTATATGTAACGCTATGAAAATGTTCGTCAAATGATACATTTTACGGTTGACTGACTAGTTGCAAACTCCATAACCCAAAAGGCTACCTAAACCCGACACTATCTTGGCTATGCCATCCCGAGCACGAACATCCGCACAGTTTTTCGATAAAACGACGACAATCGGCAATATTTACACAAAATCAAACATGACAAAACATTCACATGCGTTTCGAAAATCTGTGCCGATTGAGCAACCCATGACAACGCTTTTAGAAGACCCACACAAAGCTATTGTTGGTTTTGATTTGTGTTTTTAACAAATTATATGCCCTTATCCGCCCTAAGCCGCGATTTGATACCCAGTATATTTATATGTGTTACATTTAGCTTATCTGATCCGACTCTCAACGCTATGGATTCCTTACACAATATCCTAACTCTTTCTTCCAAATTATTCACTATCCAAATCCTACTGTACCAATATTTAATTTACACATACAAATGGATAGGTTTTATATTTGATTTCAATAAATAATACATCTTACAATCACAAATAGAATATTAAACACAAACATTCAGTGTGGTTTAATTCAATTATTAGACAAATGAAGATCATACAGATAAAAGTGTACATTATTCAGAGGGTGTTTGTAATAGTAATGCACGTATCGGAATATGTTTTTCAGGACAACAAGTTGGGAGACATATGTTTCTCGTTGCGGTATGTACCGACCGCTGGAAAACTGACTGTTGTCATTTTGGAAGCCAAGAACTTGAAGAAGATGGACGTTGGTGGTCTATCAGGTAACCTCTTTCCTTTTAACCGCCTTAAATTAGCTGATACTCGCAACATCGTGACTACACTTTATAACACTTGATGTCTAATTTCAGGGAATTTAGGGTAACTTATCCTTATATTAAATTGTACATTTGATTAAAGCTTGCAAAATATGCATGAGTAGACAATTACATTTCATAACAATCATTATTTCTAACATAAACTAGTTTAGTAAACGTATAACTTAGTATATCGTTATTTTTTAAATATTTAAGCATACAAACCACTAAAAATGTTTTAAACATATTGCTATTGATGAAATGTTGGCTTTGAGAATGCTATCTAAATAATGATCCAAACAAAGGCTAATAAAGCTTACATATTTCCCTTACACTATGTTAGTAAATATCACAGCGCAAAGCACGCACTCAGAGCTTTCCAAATACATTCAACTCATGGTTTATATTATAAACTAAATATGCACTTGAACATAAACTTATTTTCACTTAAGATACATTACTGCATACAACATATATTTCACAAAACAAACATGATAAAATTTAGAAAAAATCATATACATACATACGTTTATTATAAATTCATGTTTCCCAGTTGTATGGGTAGTCTAGTCTAGTGGGTTGACTTTAGTACACTTATCATAATTTAAACTAGTCCTGCTATAGGTTCAGTAGTAACATATAAGATCTCATTCCATCTGTATATACAACACTAATAATTATTGTATTATTATTGTCTAATATAGAAATATTTTTTTCATATCCGGACGCATCGACATGTGACAACAGATCCGTACGTAAAGATAGCACTAATGCAAAACGGCAAACGTCTCAAGAAGAAGAAAACAAGTATCAAGAAATGCACACTGAATCCCTATTACAACGAGTCATTTACTTTTGAAGTACCATTCGAACAAATACAGGTGCGAGCCGAGATTAAAAAAAATCAGTGTTACGTCGCATGGTACGGTGCGGTCTCGAATGTGGATAGCAGTTAATGCCTTACATGCATCTCATTCCAAATGAACGCCTAAATCATGGAATGCCATACATGGCGGCCATTAAACTATTTCATGTCTATACAAGATGCAAAATGGACGACTTGATGAAATTCAGAGAATATTTGTTGCGCAATTTTGTTCTAACGTGAATCATTGTTTAGTTTTAGGCTTTTATTTGGAGGAAGGGATAATCGCTTTACTTGTCGTTTGCTTCCGTCATTCGAAGTTGCCTGTAACATGCGTATTGGTGTTGTGTACTAATTGTTGTGATACTGGACTTACCACCACTTACATCCAAACCCGCCTGTCCTTTGCCTTTGTCCTGCAAAACACTTCTGTGACACTCTAAATAACCCATATTTGCAGACATTGCATTTCTTTGCCATAATTCTGTTGATTCTCTGTAGATTTATAAAAATTATTTCAAATCTTCCTGAACCATATTTATCCTTTTAATTTGTATAATTCAAAGCAACATTATTTATACTTGATTCATATTGAATGTTGACCTCCAGCCGTAAGTACGTTACAGATGGAGGTTTTTATTTATTTGTCGGTTTAAATATATTTGCTTTGCGTTATATGAAATCCGATAAAACTCCATACAAAGTGGTGTTCGACAATCTCCCCTCGTAACTGCATTATAATTTTGGTGACTTCAAATTGTAATTACTTATGGTTTGAGGAATCCAGTCCCTCTTTCTTCTTCTGTATTTCTTCTTCTATAATTTCATCTATTTACATTTAGTTTATCTTTAATCCTTAGTTTGTAGTTGCCATATCCATTTTTATTTTGAACCCTAAACACTAAAGCAGAGGTAAGAAAAATGTCCAAAAGTAAGTACGTCCTTCTTTATGTGTATTCGATTTGTGGTATATGTTTTATATGTGCTTTTTGCATGAACTTGTGCATACAAAAGTATTAGTTCATATATAAATTCTTCAAGATCCCGTCCAATTAAATTAGTATTGATTATTTTATTGTCATGTAAGTTCGTACGGCGCACCGGGGCGTCGGAATATTTTTTCATTTCTAGGATTCATTATACTACTTATTCTTCTTCATTCCCGAAGATTTCATTATAATTTTTTTTTTTATTTTAGCACTATAAATTAATTTCCTTAATTTATTTTAATAGAACTATTAAATAGCAACATGCTTAAGTTTATAATTTTCACAATATCTTAACCACCAGATAATATTGCTTGTATATTTTATTTCATTACATTTTTTATTATACATTAACACAAATCACAAAGTTATAAATTCCGTAGATGGAAGTTTTCATATTCATATACTTCACATTAAACCTTCAAAATCACACCACCGAAAATAATATGATTTTGTATAGTTGAAATCCATATGGCAGTTAAAATTCATACTTAGGCTTCGAACTCCCGTAGTAACTAGCAATTAGCTAGCCAGCTTCACTCACCTAACGCTAAAGATATGATAACTTTCTTAAATGTCACAGAAAGTGAATCTAGTGGTAACGGTGGTCGACTACGATCGCATCGGTACTTCGGAGCCCATCGGCAAGGTGGTGCTGGGCTACAACGCGTCAGGCACGGAGCTACGTCACTGGTCAGACATGCTGGCTAGCCCGCGGCGACCTATCGCCCAGTGGCACACCCTCAAGGACCCTGATGATGGCGAGAAGAAGGATTAAGAGCATCAAGGTCGGTTAAACAAGACTCAAAATACGGTAATATTTTCGATGTTCATACTCATTCAATTTCCAATTTTAAGATTTTAATTTCGAATTTTAACAGTTTAATATTAGTATTTATGTCTAGAGGTAAAATAGCTATGATGATTGTCAACCTTTGTTAGGAGATAGCACCAGAGGGAGGGAAGATATCTCTTGCACTAATTTTATTGCAATATACAGACAATTGTTTAACTTGTATATGCCTGAATGACGCGGAGGTTTAAAGTGTCCAAAGTTAAATGTTAATTTTCTGTTATTTCAGACCCACGGAGCAGTATCACTTCACGGATGGACGAGTTCGGAGATCGGAGTATAAAGCCTTATCATTTATCAACCCATTGATTGTACCAATTTTGTTAACTCTTTTAAAGTATTTTCAAAGGTTTGACGTAGATAGTAGGCTTCGAATATATAACAAAGCGAGTTATTTGTTACCGCTTAATCTGACAGATAAATATAACCTATATCTAACATCTTGTATCTAAATAAAAAAATATCTATTTTCCTGATATCTTGTTGAAAATGATTGCGCAACAATGAATGATTTCAAATAACGTACCATTAAACTCCTTAAGAGATTTCCTGTTGTTATTTTTTTTTTTTACTTATTATTGCCATTTATTAACCAGAATAATATATCGTTCAAATTATAAAGATCAGTATTGTTTCTTAAACTATAAATATAAAACTTCTTACCAGTTAATGTATAAATTGTTTAAATAAAACATTGCTTTAATTTGTAATATCTAGATGTGGCAATATTGTAATTAACTCAATTTGGAACTTGTTCCTTGCTAAATGTTTAAAAAAGTATATATCTGGTTTAACCTACATAACGTGAGTTTACATAATCCTCACGAAAAGCGTTTAAATCATAAAAAAAACAACAAATCGCTATGTAAATAAGTTGAATCCTGTTAAATTTATTACATTCTATTTTACTATAAGTGTTATAGTATTGATACCTTTTAGTATAAATGCATCGTTCCTCCAAAGAAGAGAAGGTTTGTGTAGTCAGCATTTATAACGTAGATTGGTGTTAGCACTTGTTCAATTTGAGTCCTATGTGGTTTGCTCTAATGTTTTCTTTGGAGGAACTGTAGGCCTACTGTGTACCTAGTTCCCCTTTCTGAACATGACATTATTAAAGATTCTCAATAAATATTTATTCGCCAGTAATTTAAATAGCAAATTAATTATTGATTCAGGGAATCATTTATTTGGCAGAATATTAATGTACTCTCATATAAGAATAACATCGAAGCTAGTCCAATTTATATGACTAGATATCGTGTTATTTAAATAAATTGTATAATACACTAATTTGTTGTTTTAATAGCCAGTAATAGTTCTGTCATGATAATATATAGACTTCCAATAGTCTTATAAAATTGGTATTTAGTCAAAATATAAGTACCAATACATGTTTTTTTATAGATTAAATCAATCAACAATAAATATCTTATTAAAAATAATATATAAATTAATTTTAATTTTTCTTTTTCTTGAATAAATTGGTGTGAATAAAATAGGTAGAAGTTAAAAGCATTAGCTATTGCTTGTATGTTGTTGATCTGAAGCCTATATTACTGTGTATATAATGTAATCACATGTTATATTAAAAAAACACAACACATAGAGGTAGGTAAGTTGGACTATGAAAGAATACATAGTATTGCACCATCACATGCATGTAGGCGGTTTAAACATATAAAGTTATGTATAAAATTAACTTGTTAGTTTGTATATTTATTACTGTTATCTAATTCAATGTATATGAATCTATTTCTATGATTGTCTTGTCGTAAACTAATTAATCTTTTCATTATCTGTTGAATTAGAAAACATTATAGAATCTTTAAACTCGAAACGTCCCTCTAAAACGTTGGAGTTTCTGTAGCATTGACAATATAGACATTCAAAACGCTATTTACATTATAAATAATATAAATTTCGTATTATTAAGATAAAGTACATGTGAATTCATTATATTGTTGAAATCTTTACTCTATAACCTTCCTATTCAAACCTTGTTATATTAATGTTTGAAAATGGCTCAACAAATTTCATTCCTGTGTAATGTATGTGAAAAGAAAATTAGTTAAATAATCCAATTTGAAAATTTATATTTACAGTCTAAATCGAGTCTTGACCATAATTTCTACTAAATATTAAAAATTAAATTATAACATACTTGATTATTATTCAAAATCATTATATTACATAGAAAGTTATGTGCATATAAAATATACTGTAATACAAACAATACTCATTAACATTTAGGTAACTTTATAGTTGAAAAATAAATGCCAGCACTCGCTTGATTTTACAATATTAAACATTGTACATTCCTGAGTATTTGTAATAGCAAAAAATCATGCAGATTTCATAAAATTTTGGTTGTATTTGTTAATTATCAAATTGTATATAACATATATGTATATTGCAAAATTCATATCACTTGCCTCATAAAGTTCTGATTAGTGTTATTACAGATTTTATTTAGAAAGACATTAACTGTTATTATTTTAATTAGTCTAAAACAATATATTATGTAACAAAAAAATGTCTATAATACATAATGACATAGATATGTAGTTTTATTTTTTAAATTTTTATCATCTATATCCATTAATTTAAAAAAAACAATTATGATTAGAGAATATTTTATTTATATTGACATATGTATAAGTTTTGTTGTGCATAGCATTTTAAAGACAAACCTATAAAACATTGCATTTACAATTTTATTGTAAAAATACAACTATTCACAAAAACCTTTTAGGATCTAGTAAAAACCTAAAATTCACTTACACAATTCTGATTGGAATAAAAATTAAAATATATGAAAACACCTTTTACAACAAAACTTTCAACTATCATCATAATATCTTCGTTTCATTGTTCTGTACTTTTTTAATTTATACAATGCTTCAATCTCCTTAACTACAAACTCTCCATGCTTTATCATTATTTCTATTTTCTTAGGATCAGTTTCTTCACTATTTCTAGAAAAAACTTTGTGTAATCTTTTTCTAAAAAGGTCGTAACCTTGAGGCCAATCTCGCCCTAAATACAGGAGCTGAAAAGAATATGATTAACAATGCTCATGATGCTGTCTTCTACTTAGATATATCATAAAATGTTGTATTTTGGTAATACTTACAGTTTTGTAAAGATTTATAACGGATTTTCTGTGACTCGACATGGTTCAGAGTCCAAATAAAGACAGCTTTCAAAAAGATAACGCACGTCAAATGTTAATACTATGTTTTTATGAAATATATAATATATTTATGGTGACTGATATAAAAACAAAGCATATGGAGTAGATGCTAAAGATAAAGTTCGTCATATATGTTGACATTTGTTATTATCACAGCACCAGTGATCTTTTATCACCTGATAAAATAGTAAACATGTCTCTTTTCTATAATTACTCATATAAACTATTTTATTACCACTTTCATCTATTTAAAAGAATCATTCTTTTCTATATGTAGTTTTACGGCTAATGGACAAAAATAAAGGAGATTTTTAAATATTTTGTTCCTCGAAACTCAAACGAAAAGTCATAACAAATTCAAAGAGTAAACAACGTTAAACCGTCAATGTCAAAGTTACAAAGTTTAAAAATAAAAAGTTTGGAAAACTATACGAAATATTCAAATCAATGTTATTATTTTCTTCAAGTTTTTAAATGGGTTATCCACAATCAACAAATATTTTATTTAATCGAATGTTTCCTAATTTGTAATCTAATTACACATTTTTAGAGACAGTTGAAAAAAAGGCTTAAACTCTTTGTTCTCGAGGGACTTAAAATAGCCTTACCAACATTAAGTACAGAAAATATAATTAAGTTGCTAAGCAACAAAATAATTGCAATTTTTGATAAAAATCGATTATTGTTATTGGTAATTGGGAAAGTTGATAGTTTTACTGTATTTTATCTGATTTATAATGGCAGACGAAGAACCTGGTCAACTAGGCGAAGGTAAGCGTAAATGCATTAAAATAACAGTACGAAAAATGATTACCTTCAAAACTTTTACATCTTTCGAACTCAGTTCATCAAACTCAATGAGTAAATGTTTCACACGGCTAAAGTTGTCTAAAGGTTTTTTCCAATAGAGCAATTAGGAGAAGGAGAGATAGAACATCATGAAGAAGAAGTGGTAGAAGAGGAACAAGAACCAGAAGAATCAGTTTTAACAGAATATGATCCTGATGATTTTCTATCAGGCGCTATCAATAGCTTGGATTCGACAATTCCTTTAGATTTCTTAGAGTTTGAGTATCCTTTTGATGTCTATTCACAGAGCGCTTGCCGCGTGAACCTGACTTCGAGCTATTTCTTTTTGTATAGGACTCGCGGTTATGTACATAAACAAGTTTTTCCTTAACATAAATAAAGATATTCTTTTGGATATAACTGTCTCAAGTACTTCAATTTATGTGCATGCGATGAGACAGTAATTTGCTGGTCGGCTGGCAGTATTATAACTTTCATGGATGTGAAAACTAAACAAACTTGGTTTCGTAGAAGCACTACAGGGGGCTCTGTTGGCAATATTACGGTAAAACTTCTTCCATATCTTTCCGTGAAAATTATGATTTACAACTATCCTTTGGACTAGCACTAGATGAAAGTTTTATTTATTCGTTTCTTATGAGTTAATATTCTTATACACGATGTTATCAGTCTTACAGAGTAGATCCGAACTACCGTATAGCAATAGCAGAAGGCAGAGAGGGTGACCGCGACCCTTTAATACTACTCTACACCTGGCCTCAGATGGATATAGACGCCGTGTTACGAGATGGAACGGCTAATGCTTACTCTATTATGGACTTTAGGTATTTAGTAAATTTTATTTGGTAGTTAGTCATTTTTATGGAAGTAAAATAGAATGCAGATTACAAATAGATAATGATGGAAAATCAATCTTTATTTTTATACAATAAGGTGGCATACGAGTAAGCGGCCACCTAAAGCCGCCAAAATGACGAAGCGACCTCAGTCCATAGACATCCGCAATTGCAGATGCGTTGCCTACCCTAAATCTACGGAGGAGAAAGCTTTTAAAAAGATTACGATAGTGATAAATTATGAAATTCACCAACGCCTAAATTTAAAACAGTTAAACCCAGAGTATCTTATCAGTAACATTAGGGACTTCCATTTATAATTCATTAAAAAAATAATACAATTACAGTCCAGATGGAGAGCTTCTTGCGTCAGTAGGCAAAGAACCTGATTACAATTTGACCATATGGAACTGGAAGAAACATAAAATTCTCTTGAGAACTAGTGCTTTCTCTTTCGATGTTAATGCCGCGATGTTTTCAAAATATTGCCCAGGACAATTAACTACGGCTGGTAAGTTCAATGATGTCAAATGTATTGAAATAAAACTTTTAAAATAAGAAACTCGAGGTTTGTTTTTTTATTAGGGGCTGCACATATTAAATTTTGGAAAATGGCAGAAACATTTACGGGACTCAAACTAAAGGGAGACCTCGGGAGATTTGGTAAGACTGAAATTTGCGACGTCCTAGGCGTATATCCTATGCCAGATGAAAAGGTAATGTTTTCCAATACTATTTATTTATGTAATAAAAATCTATTTATGACAATCGTAATCCGAGATATAATAGAAAACCTATGTAAATATCGGCAAATACAATTTTAAATTCATTGTCCTTAGGTCACAATTGCGATGCGTCAATCCTCCTAGTAATAATTAAGCTGAAATATGAACCAAAAACAATTTAATTTACTTTTAGGTGTTGTCCGGATGCGAATGGGGTAACATTCTAGTTTGGGAAGCTGGACTCGTTAAGTTAGAAGTAACACAACGTGGTAGGAAGACTTGCCATAAAGCGCCTGTTGTAAGTGTTAACACACGATAATTGTGAACTGATCGATATAAATGTTTCAATGTTGTCTATCTTGTAAATTTATACAGATTCAATTCATGCTAAGTCCAGCGGGCGACGAGGTGACGACTATCTCGCGGGACGGTTGCGTCCGCGCCTGGTACTGGGACACGGTGGAGCAAGCCGACCCTCCGGAAGACGACCCTTATGTTGAGCTCAATCCTGTTGCTGAAACATGTGTAAGAATAAACTTAGATTGTACTTATAACTTAAGGTAGTTCTTCGAGATCTCGATAATGTTCGTTCAGTTTTGACTCTCGCAAATCATATGAATTAAAACAAGTTATTAGCACGTAACAAATAAAAAGGCTGCCATTTTATTATGAGTACAATAAACAAATCATTCGATACTCTTTATTATGTTTTCAGGTACCGGGATGTCAGATCATGTGTCTCAAACATCAGAAGGATATGTATTGGTATGCACAGGTATTAACCGCATTGTATTTGCATTTTTTACAAAACCCCACCAAATGTTTCCAACTTAAATCTACAGATTAACTAATTCCCACAGGATGGTAATGGTGGTATATGGACGGTGGACATTGAGATCGATAAAATAGAGTGTAATCATAACAAAATATCGACGTACCACTCTGGGGAAGTGATCGCGATGGTGGTGCTCCGCTTGCATCCTATCCTGCTGACGGTGGGCTGCGACGGCGCGCTGCAGGCTTACAGCACGGACACGCAGCTGCTGTTGGCCAGGTATCAGTTCCCCTGCGCTGTCACTTGTATGCTGTACCCGCCGCACGAGGTGAGTTAACATGAAATTATCTTATAAACTGTCAATTCTTGCATCGATTTTATTTAATTTTTTACTAACCTATACTAATGTAAAGAGCAAAGATTTGTATTTTTGTATGTATTGTAATAACTCAAAAATTACTGGACCGATTTCAAGTATTTCTTTCACCATTAAAAAGTTATGTAATCAGTGAGTAACATAGCCTATGTTATTTAATTTCACGCAGGCGAAGTTGCGAACTACTATTCTAGCGATCTGGCACTGATCAGCTGACCGCATGACTAACACTAATGCACTAGATTCAGTTTTATTTCGCTATCGCAATGAATTCATGTAACGACTTACACAATTCCTACCTAATAGATGCTATAAATTATGCGACAGGATTTCCACATTGTATTATTTTATCCAGGTTGATCCAAGTGGGAGAATAATTCTAATAGGATTCTCAGACGGCGTGATGCGAACTCTATTGATACATCCAGATATAATGCAAACAGCCACCGCCCTCATCGATGTGCGGATCCATTCCGCTCTCACCATACATAGTGAGGATTCCGTAAATCCTGATGCACTGGATCTGATTTCGGTAAATTTAACAAGTATTTAATTAACAATACATTACTTCGAACAAATATTGTTATTATTGATCTATGATATATTAGATCTAATAAGTCGTTTCGTGTGGCCACTGTCGATATTATAGCCAGTTGTTTGTTGATGATAACTTTGTCGTCATATAAACGCAGATATTTTTTGTATGAGTATAATTCCATAAGTTGGATTTCTTTTCAATACCAACCGTTAAGTATTTCATTATAGTTGCTCAAGCCCCATTCGAAATCTTTAACGCAAATAACAATCAATAACCAAAACACGTTGCTAGTCACAAGTGGAGAGGACAGTACAATATTTATGTATGAATTGAAAGCTGGTACACCCTTCACTCTGAACAGATTAGGATTTATAATCACCCCTAGTACGGTATCATATATGACTTGGAAACCAGAAGAGGTATGTACTAACCAACATATTTTTTTTATTATACACTTATTTATTTTTTTTGTATCTAAAGATGATGTTGTTCTTGTTTTTAGGAGAGAGTATTACTTTTGTGTGGGCCAGTTGGTTTTTTAATGGAAGTAGTGTTACCTGACGCCAAAGTTCAAAAGTATTCTGAGATAACAACATTCAAATTGGAATTTGTATCTTCTAAACAAACTCAAATTAAGAAACATTTGTAAGTAAAGATTAATTAAATAGTCATGTATTTCGTTGTAGTAATTTATTTTTTATGGAAACCTAATTTTTTACTTCAATTATTTTTATGTGTACTAGCATGCGTCATCGCCCTTTCCCACAAGAAGAGGACCTAGCCAGTATTGACGAGGAAGCATTAAAAGCTAAAGAGGAAGCTGAAAAGGAGAAGGATGACGAAGAAGAAGAATGGATAGGAGAAATTCAACTAAGTGAGACTTAATCTTTTTAATAGCAACCGATTTTTAAACATTTTCGTGCATCTTTGTCATTCATTTCAAAGTCATAAAGTTATGAATCAAAAATTTGCTTGGATATCTTGACATTCGGTATTTATTGCGTATTTGAATATCAATTTACTAATTTCTGGAATACAGTCTTTATTGATTTTAATGTTAGTCGAAGATGAAGCGATAGCTGGTACAACACTGACGTGGGCGGCGTACTGCGAGGAGGGAGTGTGGACAGTGCAGCAGGACACCGGCGCCTTGCTGCTCGTACGACCGGGGCTTAGCAAAATATTTAAGTACGGTCCTATACCTGAAGCGTGGACTGAAGATATTACCACTTTGAAGTTCATGTACGTTATTCTCTAAATACAGTATACTCAACTTTTAGATGTTTTAAATTTATATATTTTTAATAAAAATCTTTTAACGTAAAATATTCATAGTAGTCGTAAATTGTTATTGTAAATGGTGGTAGTTACCATACACCTATTTCCAGATGCGATGGTGCATATTTAATGTTAGGCACAAATACGGGTTACATCCGAGTGGTGAGAATGCCTGTGGAAGATGAAGATAATGAGGATTACCACTACTTGACCTGGAAAATGGCTCAGCAAAAACTGCTGCGCAAACTCAAAGGCAGACGACTGGCTAAAGAAGAGGTTAGATTCTTGTATGTGGAACTATTGAAATAAGGAAAAAGCATTCATAGAAATTTATATTTCCAGACTCAACCAACACCACGCATTGATTTTAATGACTACTATTATCTACCCATGCATGATTTTTACACGGGAGCTATAACTTGCATCGAGATTAGTGCAGATGGAAGGTAATTTAGTATCTAGTTTTATTTTTAGATAGATTTAAGTTACTTTCGTTCTTAAAAATTACTCTTATCAATTCCAGGCGGCTGTTTACATGTGGAAAAGATGGAAATATTTTTTCCTACACCATCAACTTCCCGGAGCCGTTGATACCTAAAGTGAAATTAAAACCAATAGATCTGCCAGTAAGTTATTAATTATTTCTTGTTTTTTTATTGAACTTCAAAGTGTCTTGTTCTGTTTAGGCCAAAAGAAACGCAAGACTAACTTTTTAATATAAAAAACTAAATATTGAATAATTTTTTGCAACAGAAAGTACCAAAGATGAAAGAACCGAGTACCATAGATGGGGAACTGATGTCTCACGAACAACTGAAACAGAAGGAAGAGTACGATAAGAAAATGGCGATAGCCAATGCTCACAAGAAGCTAGTTCGTGATCATCTCGCAGAACTTACTGTTGAATATAACAAACTTATCAAAGCGTTAGTTAAAAAAATATTTAAAAATTAATTGCATTATTACTTCACATTATAAACTTTTCATGGTATCTAAATGCAACAAGAGCATATGTGAATAAAAATACCCGTTTTCTAGGAATAAGGCACTACCATATTCTCAACAAATCGATGTGACGCTGGACCCTCGACCACTTATAGAACAAGAGAAGGAGCTAGACGAAGCCAAGGCTCTAACAAAGAGGAAACTCGCACATCAGTTGGAGGCTTCCGACTTGGGCTATCAGAAAATGTACACACGAAATATAATACAGCTTGATGTATTTCCCTTTACACTTAAAGCCATCAGGTAATTTTCATTACTAATTTGTAAAGATTTAGCTCTTAAAATTTCACAAATTTGAGCAACAATATTGAACTAGATAATACGCATTTAAATTATGAACAGGGATCCAAATATAATGTTGAGACCTCTGCGACAGAAAAATCTTTCTAAAGCATTCTATGAACAGTTTGATGAAGTGCATCAGAAAATGGCTGAAGCCGCTTTACGGGGAAGGTAAGCAAAACGTGCAGCATTAAATGATTTCTTCTAAAACATAATTAATCATACTTCTTTTACATGCTAACCTTAGGAATCTTAATTTATTGGCATTATCGGATATAGAATTGAAGTAAGTAGAGGTGGCATGGAGCTGTTTCAAACAGAATGTTGGCAACTAAAAATGTTTGGGCACAACACTTTCAAGAAATTGAATGAATTGTTTGTTGCACAAGTTTGCGCACATCGCACAGAATATGGACGTTATCGTTTTCATTTTAATCTTCATAAAAATATGCTATTCTCTTTGTGTATCTTTCTTTGCAATTTTTACTGCGTGTTTTCTCTTTTCACAGCGGCATTTTCTTTTCAACTTTCACGCTGATCTGTCTCAGCAAAGTGTTCTTTATGTGATTATAACATGTTTCAGCATTATGTTGTTATCATTTTAACCGTTATCTTGTTGCTAAGGCTCTTAATAATTTTGTATGTTGATTTGTTTTTGCATGACTGGTCCACGTTTTATACATAATTTTTGTCCAAAAACGGATTTTGTTTCTTATAATTTGTTTTTGGTAATACAGACGGGCGGACTCCATCGCACGTCGGGTTATTTCAAAGAAAGCCTCGTGGGGTCCACCGCGAGTGGCTTCCTTCTTACTGGGACTACCGCCTCGTGCGCCGCATCCATTGAAAAAAGCTATTAGAAATTACTATCAGCGTTTGAACCGTCATCATCTACAGTTTATTGAGGTATTACATAGGAGCATTTATTCCATGACACTTTATATGAGTTAACATATTAAATTTTGGATTTCGGAATACTATCAAATTGCATCTTTTCTATGGTGTGATCGCAAATTCAATAGATTAGACATTTTAGCTCGAACTAACTATTTTAGTGGCATGAGCATTCAGCTCGTAAACCAGACCCGAATGCGATGCCGCCGGGCGCGGCTGAAGCTCTCAAAGAAGCGGAGGCGACTATTGGCAACAGATTGCTGAAGACGCAACCGGATTATGTCGCACCACCGGGACACAACACGCAACTAAGGATATGCACGACTAGAAAAGAGGTTTGATTTTAGATGCGGGAATAATAATAGTTATGGCGATGGCGGTCGCTCATTAAATCTAAATAGATCCTATGATAAAAAAGTTTATCGCAAGAAACAGAACCTCAAATTTAAGCTTCTCGAGAAATAAAAGCTATTTAAGTAACCACAGGCCCTTATATAATAGCAATGTATAATAGTTTTATGTTTTAATGTATAAATTATTTTTTTTATTGATTAGATCCACGACAACAAACACGAGTTCAATGAAAAGGTTCTCGAGTTGCGTCAGCACAAGCTGCGGCTGGTGGATCGCATGAAGTCGATTGGGGACAGACTGGGAGAGATCCGCTTGGAGATACCACACAGCATGGTGAAGCACCCACCGCAGGTGCCGGCCATCGATGAAGCCCTGGAATTCCCGGAGAAAAATTTAGAGGTTAGATCTGACTTGGCGAGAGATATATTTATCATAGTGTGCCAAAAGTTTTATATCTAAAAGTATTCATGATTTTTTCAGATTAAGCCAGAAGTAACGGTAAAACATCATATGGCAATGACGAAGAAGATTCAACAGGACAGAAGGAAGTCATTAGCACCGTCGCAGCCGCGCTCGCGTCCTTCACGTGTTGCGAGATTCGTGCCCATAACAGGTTTCCTATAATATTTAACACTGACCATTTCCTCGTTTTCAAAGTACTTACATGCCATAAAAAACCGTTTATTTTTAAAGCGCATTAACAGAGATGTAAGGAATTTGACAAAGAATTAGAACAGGAATTCAAACTCATTTTCATTAAAATTCATATTCCAGTAACGCGACCGTTGGCTGCTTCGTGGGAGCTTTTAAAATCAAAACAAGATCAAGAGACGTCTGCTACAGAAATAGAAATTAGAGAAAGACGTGTCAAACGGTATTATCACAAGGACTCTACTAGAATTCCAGATTTAATGATCTGACTGTTTTAATGCATTTTATGTTTTTGTAGACACCTTTACGAACAAGACTTGTTGCTGGCGGACGCCGCAGTTTCAATACAGCAGTTTGATTCCCGTTTAAGAGAACTCCAAAGAGAGCGCATACGAGTACAAGTATGTTTAAAATAATTGTTGATGTTACTAAAGTAGTCCAAGATTTTGAACTTTATCAAAATAAAATTAAAAACAGCTCAAAAGTCGGTGCTGTCACTAGAAGATTATACGTGAGTTGAGCCGTTTTTAATTCGTTTTTTGTTATGAAATCTTTCGGGGTCCCAGCATATCGATGATGTCAATCTTTTACTCCATGTACATTGACCAATGTTTGTTTTTAGGAAAAGAATCAACTTCTGGAGCTGCATTTGTATCAATTGCATCGTGAAATGAATGTTTTGAACCGTTTCGAAGCGCACGAAGACCGACTGGCTGAGCGCGTCTACGTCAAACTGATGCAGGTGAGTTAAGACCACAGATAATATACTAGACAACGATATTGTCATCATCCCTCTCATTTAAAAAAAGAATAGAGTAAAGAAAAAAAACAATCTTACACGCCATCTGCTTATTCCTAACTGGCCAGTATGTTTAGAAAAATTAGTTGGGATATTGCTTTCGTTTAATACTAAGCAATTAATCGTCAAACAGATTCGAGGAGTTCAGGAGCAGGTCGAGGACTGCGAGCATCGTATCGATGAGCATTACACGGAGAAGGAAATGCTGGACGCCGCCTGCCAAGAAATACAGTCGCAGTTCAAGCGGCTGGTACACGACAACAAGTTTGCTGACTTCTTACGAAGGATCTTTAAGAAGAAGTACCGGCCTCCTCGGGATAGAGATGATGATGGTGACATTTAATTATTACGAATTTTACTTTATAGTACAGATTTAAAATCAGTTTACAGTCCTCGTATTTAAAATGTATAACATGTCAAGTGTACAAATACTTTAGAATCTTCGGAATCGGAATCCGAGTCTTCGTCGAGTGAGGAAGAAGACGACGCGAGTTTGGACAGTCGCGACATCGGGCCCATACGACTGGACCCCAACGTCTGCCCTGAGGGCTGCGAGCAGGAGATCTATGATAAGACATATGACTTACGTAACACCAGGTTAATGACCATCAATGTCACTTTTACAATCTTCATAAAAACCAGTCTACAAATACGAGTTACAGTTAAAAAAATATTAAATATTTCTGAAACTTTCAGGCACCGACATGAGCAGGAAATGATAGAAAAAGACCGTCTGGTAGAGCTACTGCGCAAAGACATCGAGGCTCACAACAAAGTGAAACGCACGTTGACCATACAACTGGACAAGAGGAAGAACGACCTCAGAGAATTTATGGTTAGTGTTTTGTTAGAAATACAATAGTTATTAGTATTTAGTTAGAAATTAATAATCTATCTGCATTAGCTAGCCTCATAGTCTACTACTCATATAGTTAAGGGTACAAAAGAGACAACATTTACGTTGCGTTCAGTGCCACTGATTCGCCTGGAGATTTATCTGTCATACGATACAATCTTATTGTTACTAAACGAGTTAAAAAGATAATTACTTTAATATTTTTTAAAACAGTGTTTATATAGATTTTAATGGCTGTTAAAACTATATTACGAACAACCAGAAAACCTCTTAATAATATCAAAATGAAACAAGCATAAAAACTCTTTCACTCCAAGATCTCAGTCTCCTGTATTATAGGTCCCCACCTAGCTAAGGAAGCAGAAAACTAATGATTATTGTGCAACTGGTTTGATTAATAAAGTGTTTTCATTTTTATTTTATAGATGGAGAAACAGAACTGCATGAACGAAGTGGAGCAAGTGGTGGTGCTGCGCTACGACCAGCTGCGCGCGTCGGCGCTGCGCGGCTGCACGGGCCCGCAGGGGCTCTCCAACACGGTGGTGTTCCCCGAGCGCCTGCTGCACAAGCTGCGCCAGCGCGTGCTCGAGCTGCGCGACGAGATCAAGCTGCAGAGGAAGAGACATAAGTAAGCTAACGCGACAACTAAATCATACTAATACTAGCTTTCACCCGCAACTTCTACCTACGTGTTCTTCCAGACTATCCTCTACATCTATACCAAAGTTCTTCGAAATCCGTTTAGCCGTTTAGGCTACATACTTTAACAAAGATCCATCCATCCATCTAATCTGTCACATTTATATTTGTATGATTATAAATGCTATAGTTTAGATAGATGGATGGATGGATGTATGTTAGAGTTTGTAGTCTAAACGGTTGAACGGATTTCGATGAAATTTGGCATAGACGTAAAGGATAGTTTGGAAGAACACAGACTTATCACTTTTGTTTTTTTCAATTGCACGCGGACGGAGTCGCGGGTGAAAGCTAGAATTAAAATTGTTGGCACATCAGGATAAACCGCACACATCTGTTCCGTATGAACATTGACCTGCGAGCGATGGAGGAGCAGGCGAGCGAGCTGCGCGCGAAGATGCGCGACGTGCTGACGCGCAAGCTCGGCAAGCCGCGCCGCGTCGACCGCACGCTGGACGACCTGCTGCGCCAGATGGCGCGCCGCCACAAGTTCACCTCCGCCGTCGGCACCATGCCGCAGATGCAAATGCAGATCCGCCAGTGGCACGTTAGTCACACTTCGCAACATTTTACAAACGACATATATTTTTCTCCCTTTCCAAATAAATTGACTATTTTTTAATATTGTTATCTTACTAATATTATAAATGCGAAAGTTTATTTATCCATATCGATGTTAGATTTTGTAGCCTAAACGGCTGAACAGATGTAGATGTAATATAGAGGTTAGTCTGGAAGGAGACATAAGCTTTTTAATTTTTTATTACGCGCGGACGGAGTCGCGGACGAAAGTTAGTTTCTTATTCATTTATTTGCGTTATTTTCGCATATAAATTAGACGTGTTATACAGTTTTTAATGCAATTATGCTCATTTTTGTTTTGTTACCTTATCAAATTCTGCAATCTTTTTTCTTATTCGTAGGGCTCGAATTATCGATTTTTCTATTTTTTATATTTTCCATTTCACTCATAAGTACGACTATCACTTTCTATTTATTAATGCTGCAACTGACGTACTGCCACAAAAGGTTTTTGCAGAATATCAGCGCTTCTTACTACAAAGTAATAGGCACATAGCCGATAAAAGGGCTTATCCATTCAGCATAGCAAAGTTAGTAAACACAGATTCATAACTTAAATACTTACTAATGTGTTCATGTATTTTTTTCCTCCGTGATTTTTTGTCAACTGTTTAATTAGATGTATATGTTTGCCTTCCATATTGGTTTATTATTTACTTAAATTGGAATTTTAAAAAATATGACGCAGGAACGCCTTGGAGAATTGGAGAAGAAATATTTGAAAGAATTGGATCATTACTCTGAGCGTCTACGCCTAGCTTCAGCTCTACAAGCGGACATCTTGCCTCAGAAGGTTCTTTTATCATTGTAACCGGAAAATATTTGTTTAATATCAACAATCGCACAAAGATCTTGCCCTTTTTATTACCATTACGCCATAAACTAAATGTATTAAATCATCATTATTTTCAGCCGTGTAAAGATCCAAATATAATGGTTGGGAGTTATGAACCGGAGCAATACCAACGAGACGTGGTCCGTCTACGAATAGTGAGGTCGCAGCAACTGCACCAAATAGCGGTATTAATATTGAGCTGATTTATCCTGTGTTACTTTAAGTGCCTTGCTAGAGATTTTGCTTTTATTATAGGCTCTGAAAGAAGAGATAAAAGGTCTTAGAACAAAGCCATTCTCTGGGAAATTGGACGTGTTGCGGAGACCGCCGCCCCTCGAAGCTGAACAATCGGAACTATGTCTTAGTCCAATAAAACGAACAACCAGACACACCAAGAAGAAATATTTTCCAATGTAATGACAAGTTATTACAACTTGTTTGTTTAATAACACTTCTAATCGTTACGGTTTGTCAACAAACTAGTTTCAAATCATATTGATACTAGTTAATATTATAAATGCGAAAGTTTAGTAGATGGATGTTTGTTAGAGTTTGTAACCTAAGCAGCTTTTTTCTTTTTTTTTATATATAACATAAGGTGGCAAACGAGCAAGTGGCCACGTGAATCCGCCAAAATGGCGAAGCGACCGCTGCCTATAGACATCCGCAATTGTAGATGCGTTGCCTATCCTTATCCGACAGAGGAGGAGACGCACATAAAGAGGATATTTCCCCTTCCTATGCATCTCCTCCTCCGTCAATTCCATTTCCCTTTCCCATCCTCTCCTTATAAGAAAAGGGTGGTAAAGAAAAAGTGACTTAAATTAGGCCTCCGGCACCACACTCATCAGACGAAACACGGAATTGCTTTCATTTCACGCCTGTCTTCTGTGTGGTCGTGGTATTACTGGGGGCGTGCCGGCCCTGCAGTGCTAAGATGTTAAAGCAAGCACTACCACTGTCAAAATTCGCTGAACGGATTTCGATGAAATTTGGTATAGATGTATAGGATAGTCTGGAAGAACACATAGGCACTTTTGTTTTTATTTAATTCCAGGTTGACGGAATCGCGAGCAAAAGCTTATTAGTTAATAATCTACAAACGGTATATAACAATTCTTAATTTATTTATGTTTGTGTCTAGTACACCGATAGGTTCGCAGACGCAGGTGGTGCAGGAGGTGAACGTGATGTCGCTGCTGTTCGACTGCCTGGACGCCATGCGCGTCACACGAGACGACGCGGAAGAACTGCTCAAAGATCTCACAGACCAACTGCCTGAAGTTTTAGCTGGGTAGTCTCAAAAATATCTCTATACTAATATATTTAAGCGTTTATACGCACTTCTTAGTTATATAGGATGTCCCCAATCACAGCACATTTTTGAATATCTATTATTTTAATAAAAATTCCTACACTTAAAACACGCTTTTAGCTATACGTTTTCACGCTATTCAATTTAGGAAGTAAATAATCTGAAAAAAAAAACATGTTGGAAAGGGACAACAACTTTAAGCCAATAGCAGTAAAGAAGCAAGGTTACCATGGTAACGGTATTTGAATTTTGACATTTGCGATTGAAAGTTTTACAAATGTAAACAGTAAAATGAAGTTCTTATAATTTCATGCAGACAAAGTCGCAAGGGAACAGCTACAAATACAACAACGGGTAATAAGTAGAAAATTATTAGGATTTATTATTTTAGAACAAAATCTCGCTTCGAAGTGATCGACTCGCTCGTTCGCAAATGGCTACTGAAACACGGCGGCGATCCGAGTCTTTACAAGAAACAGACGCGAGCTTTCGACACCCTCGCCGCGCTGGCAGACCGCCTCATCAAGGAACATGTAAGTTGTATTTTGCCCTAGAAGCCGACGTTTCATTTAATTTCCAATGATATTTATATCGTGCATTATACTGTTCATGTTTTTATATTGAAAATAATTTTGCATGTTTCTTTAGATTGCAGAGATGGAAGGAGCAGAACCCAAGGAATTGCAAGTAATGAAATCATTAGAAGATGCTTTAAGAGAAGTATCGGATAAAGACCAATCACTTCACAAACGGCTCGGGCCGGCAATAGCAGCGCTGATCCACACCACCGATATAGAGGAATTAGGTTACTTTTTCGTTCTTATAATGACAAAGTTATTGTTATATTATAAATGCGAAAGTTTAGATGGATGGATGGATGTTTATTAGAGTTGTTTGAGCCTAAAGGCCTAAACTGTTGAAAAGATCTCGATGAAATTTAGCATAAATGTAGAAAATAGCCTCGAAGAACATATAGGCAACTCACTTTTTTAATTCCACGAGGACGGAGTTGCGGGCGAAAGCTAGGATTATCATATTTAAGCGCGCTACAAAGTTTTTATGACTATTTATAATAACTGTGCATTTGCAGCTACTCAAACGACCATGACATTGTTGGTCAATTCACTCATAGAAGGCGATCACAGACTTACTGCAGAGTCTATTGACCGCATTCAGCCCGAAGACGTTATAGAAGACATAAGGGGTTCGTTAAATCAGTATATTATAATACAATATTATTCAACACATGAATATTGGATGTCAGACAAATATTGTTTAGAAATGATTGTCAGTCCATACAAACGGACACTGAGCAAGCGGTTGCTGTTTTTGCAGACCTATAAAAACAAAATCATTTAGAGCTTTGATAATTTAATACGGAACTTGTTATTTACAGAATGCGGCGTTAGGGCTCCAATTAATGCTCTAAGGAAAATAGTTAAATTCGCTGTGGATTGTCTCCGCGCCCAGCTTATTGGACCCGAAGAAGCAAAGTTCTTGGATGCCGAAGTTACTAAAGCTTTGTCAGTTGAATCTATTAGTAAAAAATGATATTAAAGTTCGTAGAACATAAATTCCTTTTTATTATATTATTCCCTAATGCGATCGCAATATATTTCTATGGAATTATGGTATCCAGATCCTTAATGTATCACGCAGCAAGGTCCTTATAATTTGTCATTATTTTGTTTAAAACCCATAAGTAAAGAAACTTGAAGTTGTTGTTATCTGGCAACACAAATTTATACAACCTGTATTTTTACTAATTTTCTTATTGACAACACTAGCAGTCAGTTGAAAAAAAATTGCAATGAATATTTTGTTCTTTACTTACGAATTTATTTTAATTTGACAAAAATTATAAGTACTTTAGTGCAAATCAATGTTATGACTAACATTTACATAACTGCGAGATTTACGAAGGATTATTGTTATAATGTATGAGTTGTTATTACTTAAAGTTTCTTGCTACATTCTTTCACATAGTGCCTTATAATGAGACTTCGTGGTTTATAGTAATTATGAAGAAGATATATTTACGTATGCAGGTATAACGACCGTGAATGAATTTATGAAGAGAAAAGTGAATGCAAAAAGTAAGTACATGTCAAAATTATGCCATGTACGCTCCAGATCACCTCAGACGGAAAGAAGTCAGAGATGTTATGTACCGCAGCAATTCAAGTCTTGACTTGATATACACTGAGCATCCATCGGGAAATGGTTTACGACGGGAATATGGGAGTCATGGATCTATTGACGTAATAGGTGGTACCAGTGATAGACTACCAGCAATGGTGCACAATTACAGCGGCGTATCTACTTCAGATAAACAACCGGGATTAGGTCGAACGGATCGACTGGCTGAAGTCTTGGCAAGTGATCATGCCGATGGACCACCTCCCAGATCCAGTGTCAGTCCTAAGCCACGCCTTAAGCTGAATAAGTTATGGGGTGGAGCTGCGCCCGTGCTACGTCAACCACTTGATGACGGTGCTCTTCCATCGACTGTCCCAGAGGAAGTAAAGAGGAAACAATTTGCCCATTATGATTGTCAATCTTTGATGGCTAATTTAAGTTATGCAGCAGAAATACGTGGAGCACTGTTGAGTAGACGTCGTAACACAACTACAGGTGCATCAGCAGCATCACTTTTGGCGACGCGCGGGCTTCCTCCAGGCGAGGATGCTGTACCGGATACTGGAGATGGAAGATCTAATGAACTCTTAGAAAGTTGTCCCTTTTTTAGAAATGAATTGGGAGGTAAGTCTGTGTGCTGAAGTATGAACTCACTACAAAAAAGTTTCAGTTTTTTATTACTTAGCAACACTTTAGTTGCATAGACATAGTCTTATTCAGTACATTCTTTATCAATGACTCATAGAAACTGGTTCCTGTCAACCACTTCTGTGCTCCTAACTGTAAATTTTGCTTCTCAATACACTGTATATATTATGTCCTTTATAATACTGAAACAATTACATAATTACAGCACATTATTCAAAACATATTTAATTCAATGGATTAAATGTTATGTTATTGTGTAAAAATATGAACTAATTAAAATATAAAAGAATACCTATCAGAATCCAATTATGATACAATCAATAAGCTTGTTATTATAGAAATCATCCTATTCTCTGTCATTCAGGTGAAGAAGAGCGCTGTATATCCCTGTGCTCACGAACTGCCCGTGGAGCGATACCAGGTCAATACGGAGGATGGCATCGGCCACGGGCTGCTTATGGCTTCTCTGTATTAGAGTTTCCGCCTGGACACACACATTGGCGGCAAGGCTGTCCATTTGCAAGGTCTCTAGCACCATTGCCTGTGGAAAGTCAAGATCTGGGAGCTTTATATTATAGGAACTACTTTTACACACAGCGTAAGTTATCCTTCTATGCAGTTATCAAATGTTATATCTGAATTTAATTCAATGTTTTATTAAAAAAATTGCAGCACACCAAAATTGGTTCGGAATGGAAGAAAATCTAGGACCTGTAGCTATATCCATAAAGAAGGAACGGGTTGAGTTACGTCGTGGCGGTGGAGATGCGTTAGCCCCTGCATCCCAGTTGGCTTGGCACTATCGTGTTATTGTACGCACATCGGAATTACTCACGATACGAGGCTCTGTGCTAGAAGATGCTTTACCCACAGTCAAACCAAGCAATAATAGTGCCACCTACAATACCAAAGATGTCTTGGAATATATAGCTCCAGAAATACAACTTAACTGCTTAAGGTAGGATATAATGAAAATAGAGAACTTTATTTAAATTAAATATAACATTTATGTCCTTTTCTAACATAAGTGTATGGTCTACAAAACCACCATCAATATTAGATTTGTGAACAGAGAGATGGGTAAAAATTTAAAAAATTGGTTTCTTTTATTAGCAATGACACATACATAATACATCATATTCTCAATAAGCTTTATTTCTGTATTGCAGATAAACTGTAGATAAGTAGTTAAATACATATGTAAACAATAATCAAATTAATGTGATATGTCTTCTTCAACTGATCACTTAATCATAAGTTATCTAAAATTATTATTACCATATTAACAATTTACGTCACCTGTAATTGATTGTGATTTCATTCTGATTGATTTCTCCACAACCTCTAAGATTTAGCAAATAATATGATCTACTGTGTAACTAATTAAGTTAAGTCTTAAAAGATGTTGCTTAGCACTTTGTACAATGTTTTATAGCTTTAAAAGATATCATTATCAACTTGCCCTTATCCCTTATTAGGGTCGGCACAGTATGTGCAGCTACCATACATCTCTATCAGCGGCCATATCTGAATCCACTCCTGTTTTATAATTTATGTTTTTTACAATGTTTTATAACTTTAAAATACATGTTTGCATTATTATTATACATTATTTCAGACTGGGTATTACAAATAGTGGTGCTGAAGAACAATTATTACGTTTGGACGAACAATGTGTGACAAGACATTACAAAGTAGGAGTAATGTATTGCAAGAGCGGACAATCCACAGAAGAAGAAATGTATAACAACCAAGAAGCAGGTCCTGCGTTTGTAGAATTCCTACAAATGTTAGGACAGACTGTCAGATTAAAAGACTTTGATAAATACAAGGCTGGATTGGACAATAGGACGGATTCAACAGGCTTGTACTCTGTGTACACAACATACCAAGGCTGTGAAATTATGTTTCACGTATCAACAATGCTACCGTACACGCCTAATAATAGACAACAATTGTTGAGAAAACGACACATTGGCAATGATATAGTAACAATAGTCTTCCAAGAACCAGGAGCTGCACCATTTACACCGAGGAATATACGATCTCAGTTCCAACATGTTTTTGTAGTTGTAAGAGTTATTGATCCATGTACAGAAAATACACATTACAGTATAGCTGTGAGCCGAGCGAAGGAAGTGCCTTTATTTGGACCCCCGATCAAAGATGGTGCTGTTTACCCTAAGGGTGATGCTTTTACCGAGTTATTATTAAGTAAGGTAAGCTAAATTCAACAATCCACAACAGCCATTAATTATATCTTACTTCTTACTTATATTATAAATACAAAGTTTAGTTTGATGAATGTTTGTTAGAGTTTGTAGCCTAAATGACTGAATGGATCGCAATGAAATTTTACATAGATGTAGAGGATAGTGTGGTACAATACATAGACTACTTACTATATTATTTTTTTGTTAATACCGTAGACGGAATCTTGGGCAAAACGCAGTTTATAAAAAGTTAAAAGAACTAGTGAAAGTGCTTGTTTTTCAGGTGATAAATGGTGAGAATGCAGCTATACAGTCTCCTAAGTTTAGTACGATGGCGACGCGCACACGTCAAGAGTACCTGAAAGATTTAGCTAAGAACTATGTTACCGCAACTACTGTTGAAACTGGACAGAAATTCTGTATGTATCATTTTAAAACAATTATTTTAATCCATCAAACTATTTTAACTTTCTTATAGGTGTTAACACTTATAAAAATTTTGTTTGTTCTGACTAAATATGTATCTTTAATATTTCAGCAATTTTTTCTTCACTGTTAATGAAAAGTGGCAACAATTCAAACAGCAGTACAGTTATACCGCGTCTTGATAATTGCACTAACGATGTTCTAGTGAGAGGGGCATTGTGCTTTCATGTAAGTTAAATATCATTATATCTTAATACTTTTTTTTTTAAATCATCCTAATATTTTAAATGCTCTAAAAGTTTTATATGGATGTTACTAAGTATTAGCAAAACGAATTATGATATTTAGTTCATTTAAACCAAAAAAAAATAAATTGAAGTAGTATAATCTACATTTATTGATCTGCAGCTTGAAGAACACATATGCTACTTATTTTATATTTATTTTTCGCAAAGAGATTCGCGGGCTAAAGCTAGTATTAAAATAAGTTGGAAAATAAAACGTATCTTGTGTATTAGGTTCAAGTACAAGACGAGGGCGCGGGAGGCAACCTGCTGGACTGCATCATGGGCGTGTCTGCGGACAGCATAGTGCTCATAGAGGATAGCTCGCGACAGATCGTGTTGGTACTACCGACGAACACACTGCTCGGTATGTTTGTCTCGCTTTTTCTTAATGCATCTTTATATATCTGTTTCACTCGTTTGTTTCGTTCGAACATCATTCGATTCTAAATATCTGGATTGTTTGAATGTTTAGCAAAATTTTTATTTAAAAAATCGTAGAACATGTTGAAATGTTATAATGTAATCTCTGAATACATAGAATTTGTCATAGAAAGAGAAATACCCTATGCATAATGATTAAGGGTTGGGGAGCGATTCTAATGAATGACGACACGACGCAAACAGAGATGAGGTTAGATTGTTGGTTAGGTTAAGCGCTATTTGAGTACCTCATGCTCGGTGAAGCTGTAAATGGCTCTTAAAGACAAACAGTGATAACTTAATCAGAAAAATAGATAAATATTAACTAAATTGTATATAATTTCTTAAGGAATTATTAAAAAAGAACTAGTTGATAGATGACGGACGATATGTGAGTTAAGCCATCTAATTAGAGTGTAACTAATAACTTTAACATCTGTAAGCAGCACGATCTCGATCCATTCACAACGAGTGTGTTGACGGCAAGAAGGCGCTTAGCTCTTGACATTTTTATTAAAAAATGAACTGTTACTGATATTTTTAATACTTTGTACCTGTTATATTTATATTGTATTTAGTTATTTTGTACCTATTTTATGCTATTTTATATTGTAAATAACTATGTAGTACCCAGCAGCATTGCCTGTTGTTTGTCTCTGCTATAAGCAAAAACTTTTTATTGGCTTTCAGTCATCTAGTTTATATCTACTTAGATTAGTTTAGGCTGTAAGTTTTCCATTTCTTAAATGAATAAATAATTAAAATCAGGTTGGGTGGTGAGCGGGGGGTGGAGCCGCGTGTACTACCACCGCGGCGAGAGCGTGCGAGTGCGCGGCGCGCCCGACGCGCTGCTGCGCCGCCTGGCCAGCGTCGCGCCGCCGCACGCGCACCATCTGCACGAGATCACCCTCGAGCGAGGCCAGGCTGCGCAACTAGGTATGCCCTTCTAAAACTAATAAATATACACATACTGTACTTTTATATAGATAAACTGTACATTTTTTACATAGGCAAACGGCTGATTTTTCCATACAAACTACACTTTTTTATTGTTGATAAACTTATTTTGTACCCCAAACATACTCCATATTGATTGTTTAAACTCATAAATTTCAGAGCAAAAAATACTCAGAAATTTATTAGTTAAATCACTTTTTCTTACATAATTATACAACATTACTTACCCTTAATAATTAATGAAACATTTCTAAGTAATTGAAAAAAATGAAAAAGCATAATAGTATTCATGTATTGAAATAGTGTTTTCTCTTAGTTTTAATATTGGTAGCAGATATAGAATGTACATGTTTGCAGGTTTCCACGTGCAGCCGGACGGGCTGGTGACGGCGGTGGA